TCGAGGAGAATAATTTTGAAACGTTAATTATTTATCGTTTAGAAAGCCATTTACCACGATGACTGAATTTGATTAGAATAGATTCTACGTTTAATTTGTAGAAACGAAATTGAACGAACGCGTCGGTGAGAAACCTAAACGTCTATTAAATTATCATCAATCTATCTGCGCTTCGTTGTTTCAAATTAAACCGTGATTAATTTGCGGTCTTTCACGCGCTAAAGCATTATTCCACGCCTCGATTCGTCGAATTTCGGTCAGCTATTAAATTTCCTGATCATGCGTAACTTTGTTATGTATAAATAATTACGCGCCATGCGGTCGTTACTGTAAGGGTTTATTCAGAAACCTCAAAAAATTAAAGTAATTATAACCGTCATCAAATTCGAGTAAGCAATTTTTATTGGAAAATTATTGGAAGTTTCATGTTTTATGACATAACCAGAGAAATTTATAGCCCTGATAAAAGAGATAAAAATTTGTTATTCGAATCGTCAGCTCTCAAATTCGCCAAATAGTACAAGCGTTCAGAAGCAATTTGCATTGCAATAATTTTGTAAAGTATTCAATATTCATGGATTTTTCGAAATGTCTGCCTCAACAAATCATGTATTCAGATAATGCAGAATTCTGTGAAAAATGTTTTCCAAGTCCTGCGAAATATTTTTTGAATTTATTGCAATTGAATGGTTTGAAAAAAAATTCAAAATTGTATCACTATCGAAGAACAAAGAATTCTAATTTATACTTTTAATTTTATACCACATTATAAATAAAAAAAAAAATTACAACATTTAGTCCTGCTCTTTACATTTTTAGTGTCGATGAAGAATTTACGAGGGTGAATATATTTAATTGGTCCATTATTCCACAAAACAAATGAGTTATTTTCGAAATTAAAACACGGGATGGGAAAAAAGGAGGGAGAACGAACGCGACGATTTGTCGCGTCTGGACGGCGTGAAGAATGGCGACGATATGATTCAGTAATTATTAATTAGTCGCGGCTAGCGACTAGCAGGACGAGCGTTTCGCCGCGATTAATGGTGAAAGTTGTCGGCCAGAGGAAAGCGGATGCTGTTGTGCTGCGTTTCTGCCACCGGTCGCATAATAACGTTAATCAAGCATGGCGTTGCCTACGAATTTATGCCTTCCTCGCTTACACGCTCCTACTGTTCGCACGTCGTCTTCGAACCGCTTCAACTTACAAGCGGAAAAGGAAACAGTCATTTCTTTTTTCACCAGGAAAATAAAGAAAAATCATCTGTTTTCCCTTTGTTAGGATGTTGATTCAATTACTAGCTCTTCAAACCGTGAACGGAGGTTTGTTGTTTAATCGAATCGATTGCAAAGCAACCTCTGGCCACGATGCACGGATGCAATTTATAGCCAACAAATTTGCATAATGACGCTCGGTTGAGTAACAACGCCACGAGTTCGTGTTGCGTTGTAACATTATTATTATCCAGATTTGCTCGAGATCACGGTTTCGCGTGATAATGGCCTTTGAATGGACAAAAGAGAAGCGAACATAATGAACGTGCAAAGCACGTGAAACGTTTGATTGCCTTCAACGAAAGCCTTAGAAAAGACAGACCGTTAAATTGCCTTTACAAAGGCTCGCGATGTCTCTGAATATCGAAGACCAAAAATTTTGTTTAATGTTTTTTTAAAAAAAAATAATTCTATTGTTGGAAATTTAATTTAAAAAATTTGAAAAATTAAGTTCTTCTATTTGATATTTTACCTAATTAAAGTTAGCATTGTAAAAATTTGAAAAATTAAGTTTTATTTGATATTTTATTTAATTAAATTTAGCACTGTACCTTGAATAATTGTAACTACAATCAAAAAGGTGTCTTATTACACCTGTCCATTTTCACGAGAAGAAATTCAATTTAATAATAAACAAATATGAACTCAAAGGGTTGAATTTCATTCGTGTATTATATTTCAAAAATAATTATTTTATAACTTGAAAGATACGAATGTATTTCACAGTGAGTGATCGTCTAATTTTCACGAAATATCTGGAATGTTTATTGCCAAACGATTCTCCGTAACACTAAATAACAATCAGCAAATGAAATTGGGAATTTGAATAGCAGCTAGCGTACAAATCCATCGTGGAACACAAGCATTACCTAAATCCTTCAGTCGTTGAAAATTTCAGACCAATGTAATTGGCCAATTAGTAATGATAGTGAATCGATAGCTGTGTATAAATACGCACTTCACTTATTAACGATGCAAAATCCCTTCGATCAGCGATATTACGAACGAAATCAGCCCCCCATTGCTTGCACTCGACCACCGCACGATTTCGGATTCGTCGAAATTCCAGCAACGTGATTAACATAATAAAGTATGTGCATTCAGAGGGACTGGACAGAAATTACCTTGTATTGAACGCTCGATGCAATCAACAACCTCTCCAATTTACCAAAAATTATGTTCAACGTTTCTAAAAAAAAAATAATTCTATCGTTGGAAATTTAATTTAAAAAGTTTGAAAAATTAAATTCTTCTATTTGATATTTTATCCTAATTAAATTTAACACGGTACTCAGAATAATTTTAATTACAATTAAAACGTGTCTTATTACACCTGTCCAATTTCACTCTGCCAACGTAATTTTGCCAGGATTAATTAACAAATCTTCAATCATTATTAACACAACCATTATCATTAGTGTAGATAATACCAGTATCATCTTCAACATCAAAATCAAATTAATTAATTTATTATTATGAACACCTTTATTAGAAAATCAACGATGCTTTGAAATTCTTAACAAGAAATAATGAAATTCAGTACTGCAAGAGTGCCTACTACAATAAAAAATAATATCTGAAATGGTGTTTTCAATATCAAAATCAAGTTAATTAATTTATTATTATGAACGCCTTTATTAAAAAATCAACAATGCTTTGAAATTCTCAACAAGTAATAATGAAATTCAGTACTCCAAGAGTGCCTACTACAATAAGAAATAATATCTGAAATGGCGTTTTCACTAGGAAGATATAAAATCCACTTTAGTTCCTCGACACGGATCGAAAATAAAAGTTTGATAAATTCACAAATGGAAAGGGCGATATGCCCTGACGACATTTTGCCATCTTCGGCTTGAGATGTCCTGAAAAATATACGTGACATGGAAAAAGTATCAAAACGACATGCAGTATTAAAAATCTGAAAAATTTTGATTCTATATAAATCCATGTGATCTTTTTTTTTTAATAAAACATTTATATAATACCTTTCGTTATCTTCTCATAATTTTTCTTTTAATTTCCTAAAAACTATTACTTCTTTTTTTTCAAAAAGGAACAAGTGTACAAATAATGCAAATTGAAAACAAAAGCTTCCAATCAGTTTAAAACAATATATACTTTAAACAATCCGGCGTTACATCTGGCTGGAAAATTCACCGTTTCACGTCCGTATCCCTTCTAACGATATTCCTCTAACAAGTTCCATTAACAACAGCGCTTAAACTTTCATCCACGAAAGCAGATTAAATTCTTTTTAATCCTCTTCGTTACCCCGTCTTTCCGGCTTGGAGTCTCGCGAACGCGGAGAGCTCGATCTCAAGGGCTAATGCGGCTCTGCTTCGGCTCGAAATTTAATGATCGTCCAAACGTAAACGACAGAGATAGATAAATAAATAAAGAAAAAAAAAAAGGTGAAAATTTAAATCGATTATACGATAACGATGAGAATCTTAGACGATCGAGAAAAAGAATTGAAAAAATTCATAATATTATAAATCCTAAAATCAACGAGATATTTTCTAAATATTTCTTCGGGTGAAAATGCTCCCGACTTTTCGAATCCAATATCTTCGCGATTCAAGTAGCATCAGCTAGAAACTCGCGAACATGATCGCGAATGATCGTCACGCGTCTACGAGCTGAAACGCTGTTCGTGCTTTTCTCGATTTTCAAAATCCACGGACGGCCAGGATGGAGTTTCGATTTCACGCTTAACCGCAAGTTTCTTGCGCGTTCGTTTCGTCGAATCCTAGCAAAGGCTGTTTCCAATGCGTACGTATGTACCATACATATCTGCGAACGCGTTGACCATAGCCACGTAAAGGCGATACGCCAGGATTTCGCCTAACAAACTCCGAGTTTCCGAGTTTTCGATTATCCTACCCACTCTATTATCCGCTAGCCGAATTATCCTAGTCCGTCGAACGTTCTCTGCAACACGGTTAATCCTGTTAACCATTTCCTCGATCCTTATTTCCTACCCATATCTGATCCAGTTGAAATCAAATTCATTTTTGATTTGATTCGAATTGAAAAGAAAAAGAAACGAAAGAAAGATATTGGCTGGCATTTTGAGGGCGAAGAAATTTTTCAGGATTTATTATCAGAGAAATTTTCCGTCCTCCTTCGTTTGCGTATCGTCTAAGCTTCGGTTACCCAATCTATCTAAATTCGAATTGAAAAAAAAAAAAAGAAACGAAAGAAAGATATTGGCTGGTATTTTGAGGGCGAAGAAATTTTTCAGGATTTATTATATAGAGAAATTTTCCGTCCTCCTTCGTTTGCGCATCGTCTAAGCTTCGGTTATCCAATGGATCTAAAGTCAAATTGAAAAAAAGAAACGAAAGAAAGATATTGGCTGGTATTTTGAGGGCGAAGAAATTTTTCAGGATTTATTATATAGAGAAATTTTCCGTCCTCCTTCGTTTGCGTATCGTCTAAGCTTCGGTTACCCAATGGATCTAAATTTAATCGGTTTAGTCCGGCCCCGATTAGCCGGCTTAATCGAGGCTCTCTGCTGTATCACGAAGAGTTCCCCGAGGGAAACGGAGCACCCATCGACTTCCGGCCGACGAACGACCAGCTCCGTTTTCCCTCTCTTCGCTTTCCCTCTAACATTCTCTCATAAACAATCGACGCTTTTCGAAATTTTACGTAGCAAGCTTTCAATTTGCTATCGTAGATTATTATCGTTAAAATTTGTCAGTTCCAGCATTACTCACCGATCCCCGTAGATTCTCTTCTATCGTCTAATTCACCCTCTTATTCCTTCTTCCGCCAACATTTCATTCTTTCCACGACGTTAATCCTCCCTGAAAAAAAGAAAGAAAGAAATGTTAACAATGATTTAACGACGTGTCGGTAACAGAACAAACATAAAAGAAACGTTCTCAACGGAGTACGCGATAAGGGAAGTTCAGGTGCGAACAGAAAGAAAGAGGGTAGTTTCTTTTTTTTTATACTACGCCGATTTTATTACACGCATTTCCCTTATTGCTGGTTTTGTTGGCCAACGAAACGCTTCTTTGAATTATTATCAAGAGTGGTTCGGAGGGATGAAATGGGTGATTTGCAAGGTAAGAAGAGAAAGGGGGGATGATAAAACGTTGTTTTGTGGCGGATGCTTTTCTTCCGAGAGTCTCAGATAAGTTTATTTACCACCCGTGGCTCTAATTTTGAGTAGAACTTCTTCTTGGATCTTTCGTTTAATTGCTTGGTTATATGGGCTTCTTTGTGGTAGTTTCTTGGGGATTATGGCTCAGATATTGCACAAAGACAAGGATGATTTTTAACTGATACAAACGAGGATGAAAAAGGTGTTCTACCATTGAATTAATAATTTAATTTTAAAATTCATCTTTCGAGTTCATATAACAAATGCAGATTAATTTAAAAAAATAGAAATGGCGCTGTAAGTACTGTGATAATGCTTTAATCAGTTCAAAGTATTTGCCATTTCTATTTTTTTAAATTAATCTGCATTTGTTATATGAACTCAAAAGATTAATTTTGAAATTAAATCATTAATTCAATGGGAAAACTCCTTTTTCACCCTTGTCTTTGTGGAATATCTGAGCCATAATACTGTGATAATGCTTTAATCAGTTCAAAGTATTTGTAGAGTAATATCAGCTTTCTTTCTTTAAGATTTCTTATCAGTCTTCCTGTGCCATTGATAAAGCAATATTCATCGAGTTCGTAAAAATAAGCTGCTATAAAATGTTCCATTCCCATGGAACTGCTTTTCTCCCCATTGGGACGCCTTAATAATTCCATTAAGATTCCATGAGCGTTTTGTTGTGAAACCTGCGATCGAATGTTTTTACTTCCAATATTGTTCTCGAATTCCTCATCGAGTTTTATTATCCTTCAAATAACATACCTAATATTATTTTTAATGAAGGATTACTACACTTTTGATATCAAATCATCAAACCATAATAATTTTATTAAAATCGAATAAAAATATTAATGAAAAATTATTATTTAACTCTAATTATCTCGACTCTCGTGTAGATCTTCTTGATCGAAGATTCGAAACTAACATCGATAAGGCGAAGTTAAAGTTTGGACAAAAGTTAGACCGATCCAGAGGAAAATTTTCAACGAAGGACTTGCAATAACTAACGTTATCTCTTAACACTCGCACGAGCATACTGGTATCTTCCCAGGCTTTTATCGTTCGATGTAAGAATCGAAATTTCTGGACTCACGTCGAGAATTTAAATTAAAATGGTTCTCGGATAATGGTGTGGCATATTGGAGTCGTGTAATCTTCGTAGCCATTGTTCGAATACGAGGAAACCCTTTAGCAGTAACTTCAGAGTTTCTTCCTCTGGAACGACGGAATGGATTTAGAAATATATCGAAAATAATAACAGACGAATGAACAAATAGAATCTTAAAATCCTTCCAAAGCAATTATAATAAAAGAAGGAAAATGGAAAAATGAAAAAATAAAAAATAAAAAATTTAAGGGAGCGAAGGCATCCCTTAAAAAAAAATTATTTTCTTAATAAACAAATCTGATTAGAATATCCGATTAAATCCAAATCCCTCGTTTTCATTCAAACGTCGCCAACAAAACAAACTGGAGGATTCCTTGTCGAAAGAGCAAAGGCGACGTTAGCAGAGCTATAGTTACCTTTATCAGGCTTCCCCGGGAAAGGAAGCCTTACCTTTATGAAAATACACAGAGAGGACGCTTTTGTCCCATCCAGACTGCTATTAACCTCGTGTTTCACGAGCTCAATGCAGGATAGGTCCGTCGTGGTAAAACCGATCCTCCTTAACGAGAACGGAAACAGAAGTCTTCGAAGTACGGGGATGATGGTGAACGCAACAAAAAGGATCCTCGCACGCTTATCCGACGTTTCCTGGCTTCGACACATCCTTTATTTCCGTTCGATTCGAAACGCCCCGGGAATCTTCCTCTCGATTGAGCCTCAATACCCGCAAAATTAGGTTCGCGGAACTTCGATATGGGTTAAAGTACGATTTCGAATTCGCGAACGTTCCACCCACGGTATTTTTATTGTTTCGATGAAAAATACGCGTTTTAGTAAACCTTTCTGACACTTATTCTTGGCTCTATTGGACCTTCTATCGCGACAGTGGTAGAGATCGTTAAAAGTCAGACACCTTGAGTTACGGAATTTAATAAGCATTCGAGGTCCGTTGTACGTGTCCGTGGTACTGAAAAGCGATCGTCATAAGTAAAAAACGACGTAATTTCGCAGTAAACTCTCCATTTAAGAGAAGGAACTTGCGATCTTAATGAACCAGGAATTCAGCTCCTATTGGAAAATATCCCTTCCCTCGTAAGCGTGTTATAAAATTTCTCTAAATATTTCACTATCTCTTCCAATATTATCTTTCTAATTAATGAAGCATCGTGTCTGACGAAGAGAGAAAAATGATTTAAAAATTTCACGAAGTAACAAATCGCAAGAAACGTCGCGATCGTGAGATCTTTTTAAACGGGAAACCGAGCTTTGAGCGTCGGACGGTCAGCTTCCGCGATACTTAAGTCGAAGGAAAAAGTCTCGAGGGTGAGGCGCGATGGAAAGAAAAGTTCGACATTCATGAGAGAATTTTAAAGTTCACGCCCGCGAGAATATGAATGTTTAATGGCCACGACAGCGTGCAGTGAAAACGGAAAGGGGGAAGAAGTTCACCAGAACGTGAGAGCAATTTGATTTTTCTTGTAACGTCCTTTACGAATGTAACTCGACCTCTCGGATAATTTGCATAATCTGAACAGGAACACTTTCAATCCTGTTCTCGTGTTTTGAACAACTGCTACAAGTCAATAATGTTTTTTTTCTTTTTTTTATTATTTATTACAGTGTCAGAAAATTATTGTATTAATGGTAAAAATATGTTGAAACGGTAAGTGGATTATTCTAGCGCTTCGTTTATCGAGAAAGGATAATGGCACAAAGAAATTCGCTCGTTCGCCGAAAAGAGCAACTCCGTTCAATTGGATTACTACTAACTGTTACTTAATTACACGCAACAGTAATTCGCCAGGCGAACTTAATTGGGTCCATCTACCGTTTCAAGTTTCATCAGATCTGTTCCTCTGTACGAGGCTCAATCTCCATAAATTAATCAGACACGGAATTGTTGCACCAACTCGTTGCAATAATTATCTTTCCTTGCACTGCAGTGTTTCAAACAAGACAACGATTAATCTTACAAGTTCCAAAACAAAATCATTCAGAACGAAATAATAATGAAATTTTATATTGAAATAACAGCCTCGTTAAATTCAATTCCTTTCATTTTTATAAATGAAACGAGATCCTTACGAAATGATACGGAGAATGAAATTAAAACGAGTGAAAATTGTACAATCTGCGTGTTTTAATGAGCTCGATTCATTCGTGTTCAAAGAATGATTCAAGCTTTGTCTATAAAATCAAACGTAATTTCTGTTCTATTATCTTGATAAGAATACAATGGAGAATCACTACTGAATTGGTTGAAAATAAAAAATAAAAGAATCCTTTGAAATGGTTCACCTTAATTCATTTTTAAATAGGAATTACAAAGGACTATCATGGAAATGTTTAAATAATATAAATTATTAAGAAAAATTTTAGATTATTTTGCAACATTCAAATGGCAAATGTGTCAGAAAAATTTTATAGATTACAAAAATATGTTTCATTTGGCACATTACAGTTACACTATATAGAAATGAAGTCTGGCGTTAAATAACAATAAAAACAATCCTAAATTTTATAAATAAAACACCTAGAAAGATAGTGCGAAGTGTGCTTTAAATAATGCACTTGGTTGCAAGTCAATAACTCAATCGGTTCCTGAGATACGCCGTTTTGAAGCGCAGCCCTGTATACGCGCAGGAGGTTGAATGGTAACTGAATTTCAGGAAGCGCCGTGACCTACTTTTCTTCCAGGAATTACTACGCTAGTAGTAGTAAATAGTAGTAAAAAAAAAACGTTGATTCAGCGTCTGTCACTGACCAGTTCACGCGAGGCATACTTGGGGTGAGTCAATGACAAAGTGTGAGTGAAAGATTTAAGCGTGCGAATGAGAAACTCGATATGAATCAGTGAAAGGTTTAAGGGCGCGAGTGAAGGGTTTGAGATGAAGGGTGCAAGCGAAGGGTGTTCAAGGACGCGAGTGAAAGGTTTAAGTTTGCTAGTGAAAGGCTTAAGTTTGCTAGTGAAAGCCTTAAGTTTGCTAGTGAAAGGTTTAAGTTTGCTAGTGAAAGCCTTAAGTTTGCTAGTGAAAGCTTTAAGTTTGCTAGTGAAAGCTTTAAGTTTGCTAGTGAAAGCTTTAAGTTTGCTAGTGAAAGGATTAAGTTTGCTAGTGAAATGTTTAAGTTTGCTAGTGAAAGGCTTAAGTTTGCTAGTGAAAGGTTTAAGTTTGCTAGTGAAAGGTTTAAGTTTATTAGTAAAACGTTTAAGTATAAAGTAAAGATTGCTTGCGTGGAAACGAAAGGGTGAAAGGAAAGATTCGAACGTTTGAACATCCAGCGTGCAAATGAAAAGTCAAAGCGCGTAAATAAACGATTCAAAAATGATATTATTCTTCTGAATTTAAAATCTGACTAATAATCGTCATTGATCAAATACCTTACGTGACGACGAAACGCTCTCACGATTTGCTATTAATCGAGGATAAAAGAGACAGCTTTGAAGGTCAATATTTTCTGAAGACACAGAACCTAAGACGGTCAGCTGAAGAAAAATCCCGAAGATTACACGACCGACTCTCGTTGAAGAACAAACTCTCACGCTTTTCTCTCTCCTACAAATCCATTTTCAGTGTACTCGTACCCGAGGAAAATCCCGTAATCCATCTCTTTGTTTCTTACAATTTCCATTCTAACGCAATTCTCGGGGAACACTCGTAGACGTAAAGTGAAACACGAGAAATCCTCTTATGTTAGAACGATGATACCTCAGACGCATGACAGACGCAATTTTCATGTTCCTCGAAACTGTGTAATGAAACATTAGGGATTGTGCTGAAGACAGCGCGCAAGACAGTCTCAACAAGTTTTGACAAGATGCTTCTCTTTTTCCTTTCTTATTACTAGAAGGAAGCAAGTGCATTCTGGATATTCTTCTTGATAAGACTGAAATAAATTTGATTCCTCAGAACACGAGTTTCAAATTTGCCTATAAGACAAGATTCACTACTATCGCAATATTAATATCAACTGCTTTATCTTTCATCTGAAGTATTTTTTTAAATTACGATCCAAAAAGCTTGGAAATGCCAGCCAAAATGTTGACAAAGTATGAGCAAGGAAATACATATTTCCCTTCCCAATATCCACCTTTCTTCTCTTATATTTTATTTACCTTCTCCATCTTCGTTTCATTCCTTTTCGTACCTCCTGTTTCTCTTTATCATTGTTCCTTCTCCGACTGAGACAAAGCTGGAAAATTTATGAGGAAAAGTAGGATACCGAGGTGACGGAGTCGAGAACCTTTCCCGGGGAAACATTTGATGGGCTTTAGACGAGATCAAGTTCAATATGTAGCCACGAATCTAAATCGATTCCACAGGATGCGCCCTGTTTCGTTGAAATCGAGTAATAGTCGTGAACTCCGGGTATCTCGTTTGATGCGTGCCAAGGCGTAAACGCGCCATTCAAAACTTGGATCGATTTTGTCTCTTCTATTTGCGACATAAAACGTAAATAAATAATCCTTCGTTAATAATATTAAATTTTACATTCGTGATATTTATCTTAACTACAGCAACGACACATTTCCCCTGAATCGAGTCATTGTCATATGCACCCTGACGCGTTTCTTACATTTTCCCAGGGGTTATTTTTGCTCCGGCAGTTGCCGAAGTCGCTTTCTTTCTGTTTAACTTGCCAGTTCTTTCCTCTAATGTTTCCTTAGTTTCCCGTTTCCCTTATTTTCGTCACGATCTCAGTACTTTCATTCGAGTCGCTTTCTTCTCGATTCCTATCTTACTTCATTCTCATTTTTATTTTCGCCAACTACGTGTTACCACTGCTCTGCTTATAAACACAAACAGCTCTTTATTCTTACTCGTTTGCTTTGTTCCATTTAAAAGCGTTATAAACTGTATTATGGCGCAAACAAAAGCAGGGAAATAAATGATTCTGAATAAAACAAATAAAAATTCTAAAAATTGAATAAAGAAAATTATTATCCTAAAATTGTATGCAATTTAATCACAGTCTGGAAGTTTGAAATTTATATGAAAATCTCGAGTATCACGAAAGATAGAAGAATTTCATTTAAAGGACGATGATGAATGAAATTCAACATGCTTGCAAATTACAAGATTCCTCTCTGGATACATTCGTTGAAAACTCATAGCAAGGTCCGCCTGGAAAGGCAGGATTAGAAATGGTAGCCATGCAAAATGTCAGACATCATCAATATGCATAACCTGGAAAACGACCAAACACACCGATATCGATGCTCTAGGATACTGTTAGGAAAGGAACTGGCACGTTTTGCATTCTCTTTGACCCTTAAATTCGAGCCTGGAAACGTAACGTGGTCGAAGGTGTTTCCACGACTACGCTTGAAACGCAAATCTCCTCTGATATCGAAGGACACAGAATTCCTCTCATTTTCCACTTCTTTCTTCTTCTTCTTGTTCCTTTGCCGAGGAACACGTCGATTCATCGACTCCTTTTCAGTGTTCATAGTGAAACGAGAAAGAAATGATAGGCTTCTTTCAGAGAGGAGCCTTTTTCAATTTATCCACGAACCAGTGGCTTAAAGTAATTTTTCCGTCTAAAATTCTAGAATTGTACAGCACAGAGGTTGAAAAGTTTGAAATTTTAAAAATATTTCCTGCTGAAAAGGAAACGTACGTTTGAGTTCGCAATTTTCCATCGTGAAATTCTTGTTTCAATTCTGTTCGATTCACTGGAAGAACCGGGGACACTGACAAAACTCGATTCACTCGTCGAGCATGTTCTTTGGCTTTCTTTTAGCGCTGCATAACGTTGGATCATTTTGATAGATGAATGGATCTGGTCGCGATAAAGTGCAAAGTTGCCGCGTTCGTCGAGCGAGAAAGTTAGTTATTCAAAGGTCGTGGAAAGTTCGTCGGTTGCCGAATTGAAAAATTGAAAAGTTTCGTTCGAGTTGCTCGAAGCAGAGTGCCTTGTTCTCTTCCCTTTTTCTTATTAGTTTAATCGAAGAACGAGGAGAAGGGAAATTTCGCGAATAAATATTTTCACTCGGAGCTGGGATTCAATTTGCGAGAACCATTTCGAAGAAGGCAAACAAAGAACAATACAGTAACTACAAACATAACAAAAATTTCCTAGAGTTCAAGAGTTACAAATCGTTGGGAATTCTATAGCCTCGGGGTAGAAAGAAAAGAATTTGTAAAATTCGAAAGCCCTGTGGACAGGAATTGCAGAAGGTCAACAACTGTCGCAGATGTAACTGATAATCAGAGAAATTCAATGGAGCGCGTTAGGAGAATGGGAAAGAGTGCATACACGAGTAACGATCCTTCGAATCCATTCTCGTTACAGTGTGAAACGAGGCTGACACGACATCGGTCCGAAGTGAAACTCCCTTGCTCGTGGAAGAAATGCTCCTTTGGGAGGAGCCATTTCCACGGAGCCAATCGGCCTGTCCGCTTGCGTAAAGCTTGACGACCCATAACGCAATTTTTCAAGCACGTCGGACCACTGTCCTCTTACCAGACGAACCTTCCTCTCTCGCATACCTGAAAGATCAAAAGAAGATAGGAGAAGGAACCCTGGAACGTGATACACGTTCTCTTTTCCATCTCCATTTTACTTTCCCAGACGAGTGTGTACTCGACGAAATATCAAGGAAAATGTTAAACAAGAAAAGAGTAGCAAAGCAATTGTAGAAAGTTTGTCAAAAGCCCTCGAGATCAGTAGTATAACTCAATAATTAAAGTAGCACACTGAGTAATTTCCTGTCACACGCTGGGAACACGAGTTACAACAGACTCGATGATCGTCGTCGAATGCAAAACATGTGCCTAATTTATTCATACACCGGTAGAGAAAGCCGATAATGGCGGTTCTTCGTCGATTCTGTGAGTCGTGTAATTAGTCGTGCAAAAGGCTTGTAGGAGAAAACGAGTTGGTTGGTTGAAAACGGCTCCCGAGGGATCGACACCGGATGCAAGAAGCCGGATATCCGTTTTGTAGGTGGGGAAGAAAGGAAACGAAGAAGAAATTCAGACAGAATTGTCATTAACCTGTGGGTTGTTTCGGTTAATGAGCTACACGATCACCCTTTTGTCATTAAGGGGTTACGCTTAGTTGGGATCGGGAATGTTTTTTGCCACCCTAATAAACATTTACTACGAAGTGAAATATACCGTCGAAAAATACATGTTTTAAAGTAGTTTTAAGATTTTTTAAAAAATAAAATGTTAAATAATGAGAGAAATACAGCTCTTCTCGAGATCACTTGCAGTGGCCATATTTTCCAAACCGCTTATTTAAAATCAAAACCAAAGAAAACTGAGTTAGTATATTGTATTGTTAAGGGCCTGAACGAAGGATTTTGCGAAATTTTGACTTTCACCAAAACGACAGCAATTTTACTGAAAAATTCGGTTTTTGAAGTGGTCAAATTTTGTTTCCTTTGCGATAAAAAATTTTATTTTTAAGAAATCTTAAAACTACTTTAAAACGTGTATTTTTCGATGGTATATTTCGCTTCATAGTAAATATTTATTAGGACAGCAAAAAAAATCTTGAAAATTACCCGATCCCAACTAGGCGTAATCCCTTAAGGTTTGAAATTTTCCTCTATCTCAGCGCAGGGAAAATTAGTTTCTCTTTCATAAAATTTCAAAAGACAAACGGATGTTCGAAGCGCCACGTACATACTCATTAAACGTTCAATTTACTTTGCTCGTTGCAATAAACATCGCTTTGGTTTCGAAGGAATTTTCTCGCCGTACGTAAACCTGCTTGTTAAACACAGGGGTATTATTAACCGAGCATATAACTCTATACCATGTTAATTCAATCTGATTACGTTGAAAACGAAGTATCCCGCAAAATCGCTAATCTGATCCTGGACGTAGCGAGCAGAAAATATCCGCTTAATTCTGAGGAGAACACCTAAATCACTTATACTTCCGGAAAGGTCGTTAAATTGCTTGAAAATGGGTTCTGTAACGCGTTTACGAAATACCAACGCGATTCCCAACTCGTTGAAAAATAAATTCTAAAAAAAAAGAGCAAACTTACCGTGAAGAAGGGAAAACAGATCCGTTTGGTCTCACCCTGTCCATGGCGCCCATCTGTCAACAGAGAAACATAATTTTTATATTATTTTACTGAAATTTCTGAATATTCCATATTTTTATAGACAGGCTAGTGAGAAAATTGTTAAAATCATGAAATATTTCGCGACTGGTAACGAAAGTCAGCAAAGCTCAGACCCATCATCCGAGCAACAAGTGCCTTTTTTAGACGGTCTGGTAAAATCTGAAACGTTGCGAGCGGGCGGATCGTTATCTAGAAAATTAATCAACCGTCTAGCATGGTGAAAGGGCCGACCGAGCTTGGTAACCCTAGAACGTAACGAGGCGAAACTTCGTTACCCTTAAAGCGTGAACATCGAGATTCGTGGTATTCTGTTCGTGTCTCATCCAGCTTCTGATAATGATATATTAATTCGGAGAAATTAGATTTCCCGGGGAATGAATAATTGTTTAGTCTAACAATACCTACAATTCCAAAGTCAAATATTGAATTTCAGATAATGTTATTTTCACTCTGATATAATTAATTTTGTTGCCTGACGTTATTGCTGGTCGATAAATATTGAACAGTTAACTTCGAGAGGATTCGCGGATATTTCAGGATAGCAGTTAAGGAAATTTCAAGCAGTAACGCGTCGGCGAGTTAATGGGAATACTTTGGAGTAATTAGATCTTCATAATCGATTCCGTAGCGACGGGTTTAATCGATCGCGAGACGTACAACTCATGATTGCGCGGCCTAATGAGCCGAAACTTCATTAACCTTGCAGCACTGAAGTCCGGCTACAAACAGCGCCGGCTTCGCGTAACCGTCTGGACGATAACGAACTTAGTACGCCAAACTACGTAGAACTTGAAGTAACTTGTTTTTGTAATTAACAAGGGTACAATAACAGATGAATTTCGCTAACGCGGCCAATCGAAAGTTCGATGAAATCCTTCGCAAGAATTCTAATCTAAATATAAAGAAACAGAATTCCATTGTAGCAGTCGCGAGAATTCGACCGATCGATTTTTATTAAAAGAATAAATTTCCCTCCAGAAATTATTCGTTCGCATAGAATTAACTTGTTTTTGTAATTAACAAGGGTACAATAACAGATGAATTTCGCTAACGCGGCCAATCGAAAGTTCGATGAAATCCTTCGCAAGAATTCTAATCTAAACATAAAAGTAACAGAATTCCATTGTAGCAGTCGCGAGAATTCGACCGATCGATTTTTATTAAACGAATAAATTTCCCTCCTTAAATTATTCGTTCGCGTGCGTTACCGTTGCAAGTGTAAGTTTTCATGGGGAACAAATGATGTAGATTTAAGTCGGTTGTGAAAGAAAAGGCGGTGCTCGTTTTGCATAGCAAAAGTCGAGGCTTAAAGGGGTTAATCACACACTTAAAGGTTAATGTACATCAGCGGGCGGCGCGGTATCAGTAATACGAGTATATACACCCGCGAATATGTACATTATGTGTAGGTATGCATATACGCGGTTGTGTGTACACCGGGTACATATATGCAGCTGTTCACTGCACGCAAATTATTACACTCTGCTTTGACGTAGCCTCTAAAGCGGCGACGGGTTAAGGATATACCATCAAAAGGAATCTCATCAAAATATCTTCGGGGCGCGTTCGACATTCTACGTAAACGGATCATCCTTTCTCAGTTAGAACATTTTCAAAGTTACTATAATATCCGGGCTGTATTAACGATATAATGTTTACACGGAATAGCGACGCGACGGTCGAGAAACGTTGAAAGAAGAGGGATGGAAATGAAGGGGAAAATTGACGATAGTAGGAAAAGTATTTTCCGATATTGGAAAAGGTATAAGGGAGCCATAAACTTCGGCCGGACTGGCCGGACAAGATTGCTGTTCGATTTTTCTGAGGCACAGCTGGATCTCCTTTGGCCAGACAGCATCAGTACAGGGTCAAAATAGACGGGATTGGGTCAATAGATGGTCGGAATGGTGCAATGGAGAACGGATACCGAAGATTGTCAGTCGAGTAGCATAGGCTGAACCAGCTATTCTCAACTGCCGGTCCGCGGAGAATTTTTACTTGTTCGCGTTAAAAAATTTTCTTATTGAAAAAAAAAATAATAAAATTACGAAATCCTGTAATTCAGCTATTTTTAACCGCGGGTTCGCGGAGAATTTTTACCTGTCCAGGTTAAAAAATTTTCTTATTCAAGAAAAAATAATAAAATTTTAATTTATAAAATTACGAAACAAAAATATTTTTAACTAATTTTAAATTTACATAATTTATGATTAGCACGGCACTGAAGACAAATTCCTGTAATGCAGCTATTCTCAACCGCAGGTCCGAGGAGAATTTTTACCTGTCCATGCTGACAAATTTTCTTATTAAAAAAAAAAATAATAAAATTTTAATTTATAAAATTACGAAACAAAAATATTTTTAACTAATTTTAAATTTACATAATTTATGATTAGCACGGCATTAAAGACAAATTCCTGTAATGCAGCTATTCTCAACCGCCTGTCCGCGGGTCAAAGAAGGTTGAGAAACGCTGGGCTGAACAATCATAGGTGAGTAGATAAGTAGAATAGATCAGTGGATGGTCAGGCGAGTAGAATAGAAAGCTATAGGTGTAACAGGTACTCTAACCGCAGAAACGGAATAAGTACACTGTGTGGTTAGACTAATAGAATTCTCTACGTGACCGGACAAGTTGAATAGCGAGTCGGCCGTGAATCCGTACACCCCGCGCATAGTTCACCGATACGATTCTACATCCCCCGAGCGTGTAACTCGGCAGGCGATAAAGAAGTGGATAAAAAAAAAAAGGTAAAGTCCGCGTATTCAGGTGTAAAACTATCTCGCAGATGCAAATGCGGCTCGCATATATCAGCGAAGCAGCGTCCGCAGTTGTATGCACTTTTGCGCGCAACTAACAAATTGCCGGTTCGCGCGTACGTCTCTGCTGGTTCGCTTGCTCGCATATATTCCGCCAGCACGTACAATTACTTTCCTCCCTACAAACAGAAGTTACACGCGCGCCTGTGCTCGATACCGATATAACGAACAGGAATTACGCGCGGCTTCCGCGAATTTCGCCGATTAAAAAGTCTTGCTCAGCGTCCCATGAATCGTGAGGATGAAATAAAGTTGACAGAGAAAATCGCGAGGGAAAGATGGAAAGTCGATTAGTACAGAGAGATGGTAATCGTTATCAATTCACCGAGGCGTCGAACTAATTACAACGGGGCGGGCTAATTGCGGGCCGATGAAACGCGCGCGTTTTCAAGCCGCTTAGATCGCGAGCATTCACCGCGATACGCCGGCCCGCCGCGTGTAGATTACGGCGCGGACGGAACCGTGTACGGGTTATCGTATCGAAGGCACAATTCCAGCGCGCACGTCCCCGCAGAAGCGGTAATTGTGCACGCACACGCGCGTAAAATCGTACACGGTCCCGTCTGCACGCGGCAATCTGATAAATGGAACCGGTACCTACATCATCCGACGAATCGACCGCGAAGCGGCGCGAGTTTGCCCATCCACGCGTAACCCCCGACGATGATTCGCCGGCAAAAGGTTGGATCGTTGGACGTTGGGGTAGAGATGGTCTTCGATGGTTAAAGGGAAGTATGGACAGATTATTCCGAAGCAGCTCTCCCTCGAGGTTAACTCGATTGCGAGCCCTTCGCCCTTTCCAGCGCGCTATCTACTCTCCGCTAGAACTATGCACTCTGATAATCATGCACCAGATCATGTTTGATTATGCACTTAGGAATCAGAGGGATTGCATTCCGAGGGTAAAACATTAGAATAAAAAAGAAATTGTACTGTGACTCCTCCAAGATTACTGTGGTCTAATTTCCATATTGCCACAGTGGCAATAAAAACGGTGGTTGAACTATTAAAATTGAAATTAAAAAGTCATATTGCAATATTACCAATTGCAAGTGCCGACTCGCCGGAACCTGATCGGGTTTACGCTATGAACACGCTTGATTGACTCGGCGCGGTACTAAACGCCAGTGGCAATATAGGAATAAGAGCACAGTGGCAGGAATCTTGGAGAAATTACTGAATACAGGGAATGAACGGGCAAGTAGTATAGGTAAATGATAAGTCAGACATAGGAGAACACAGCAATATCTGGTTATGAATGGAATACCCTTCAGACTAAATTATGCATTATTTACGTTCCCTTATGCATAGACTATAAATTGATCCTAATTATACATCCAAACTTGTAAGCTATCCCTGATAATCTTCCAGGGTAGATATGGGTTCACCCTCAAACGGTTATAATCATAGACGGACAAATCAAGTGTCCTTCAAAGTTATCGCCGGTTAACACGTTTATGGTCTATTTTACAATCTTAGAAACTCCATTAGCCGAGTCCCCATTAGCCTTTCGCTTCAAGTTTACTGACCTAATTACTGGAATATGTAATGTTGCGATCGGACAAGCTAACTTTGGGGCAAGCGCTATTCTGAAATATTCAGAATCGAGTGTGTTAACTAGAGGCTTATGGCATATTATAACTTTGATTCTATAGTTTTTCGAAGTAATCTTGTAATTAAGAAGACCTCAAAGAATGCTTGTAATTATTATCTCTGAAATCGACCGTATACTTCGAGGCTCTTTCAATTTACCTTACACCTTTCATTCGTCAATTAGCACTTTCGCGACAGTTCTCCAAGCAGTTGTGAAGTGCACTCGTGTTTCCGGTTGGTTAACAGGCCGAGTACGCAACGAAAGACGTTCAACAGCGCGATGCGTCCGTCAGAATCGCGAGCAAAGCGGCGGAAATGTCGAATGGAACTCTACCAGTCTCGCCTGACCGCACACGCGACGAACAAACCGGAAGTTTCCAGCCAGCTATAGCGATCCGTTAGACGCGTGCACTCAACTTTGCTGACTCATAAGGGAATCGTGAGTAGGGTAAACGCGTGCACGCGTCGTTGAAGAGAGCATCCAGTTACGGAACAACAACATAACGCGAACTTCTAACGCAAGTTTCCTCGCGTTAATGCTCCTTTTATTATTCCGCCT